AACCCAGGCCACACGCATGCCAGGCGAGCGCGCTACCGCTTGAGCCACATCCCCAGCCCCTGATTTTCTTATTCTTAGCTCTATCTCATGCCATAAAAGAGTGTCTTGTCTGTACATCATATACACTTAGTGTTGTGTTGTGTCATGGAGGTGGAATTAGCCACTGTTCCTGCATTTGTGATTGTTCATCATTGTTTTCTGATGAGATATTAGCAGTGACATCACTACTTCTCATAGTCTCCAAGTCAGTGGTTAGTGGATTGTTTAGGGCTGGCTAGGTAGCAAGTGAGGTCAGTGGAAGACACTAATCGTTGAACAACTCTCAGAAGCTCTCATGTACTTTTACACTGTGCTGGGAGGCGCTGACTTTACTGGAGAGAATATGTTACTTATTTCAAAGAACTTTTGATGTTGTTGCTGGGGATGGAGCCCATGGCCTCCTGCATGCTAACTGCTGTCTCTGCAACTAATCTATATTCCCAGGACAATTTCAAAGAATTTTTTGGATGTGTTTTTTTCCAAAAGGAATAAGTGATTTAGAGAATAAATGAAAGGAATTTAGAGGGACCTATCCATCTTTCTTATAGGGTACTGATTAGTGACTGACATCTTTTGTATACTGAATTTCTATTAATCATCAATTCTTTTTTTTTTTCTCTTTTCTTTGGTACTTGTTTTCTGTTTGCAATTTCATCTGTCTTTCTTGAGTGTATTCAGTGCAGACTGCAAAGTAATAGAGATTCATTTAAAATGAAACAATAAGTCACTTTGTGTTTACAGTGGGATCATGAAACCTGGCCTCAATGCCATCATGGGACCCCCAGGTGGAGGCAAATCCTCGTGAGTATAACAAAATATAAGTAAGCCTTTTCTGTGTAATTTCAGTGTGCTTTAAAAAAATCACTTTACAGAGCAGGTGTTGGTTAAGACTTTGCAGTACATTTCCAATCTGGGCCTTGGTCTTGGGGATAATATGCAGTTAGACTAGCTTATCCCAAGGACCAGAAAGTCTTATTAGGCCAGCTCCACTAACACAGCTTAAAGGTGATAGACACAAAGTGGTTGGCCACATTATAAAACAAGGGGTAGGAAAAAGTAGGGTATAATATTAAAAGTGGGGAGACTGAAGACACAAATCTTAGAAAAAGGAGCACATTGCCTGGCAGGATCCTTCAAGGTCAGACTGCTAGGGAGGGTCACTTGAGAGATCTGTTCTGGAGAAGCCAAATTTTTCTTGCATTTTTATTTTTGGGCTTTTTGTAGCATATAATGAAAAGGAAGGTGAGAATTGTGTACCTATATGGGTACTTATATGAGAGAGCAAGGTAAAATTTTATTTAAACCATGCACTTCTTGACAGTACATTTCCCAGTGCACAAAATTTGGATTCAGGATAACTGATATGGCCTGTGTGGACAGAAAAAGTAACTCAGAAAATAACTGTCTTTTTATAGGTTGTTAGCTATCTTATCTTCAAGGAGAGATCCATGTGGTTTAACTGGAGAAGTTTTGATAAATGGAGTACATCAGCCTGAGAATTTCAGATATAATTCAGGTTATGTGGTACAAGTATGTATCAGTGAGTTTGATTTTCATGTTTCCTCCTTTTCTGTGTGGGAAAAAACCTTGGCTTGATAATTTGTGTGCTCCCAGATGAATACCTGACATGCTCATGGAATCATCTTTCTGTACAGTAGGTCTTCATAAAATCCCATAAGATTGATGGTGAAATTAAATGGAGAGGTAGAGAGGATTGGCAGTATGACCTTTTTAGGACAGTGATAACATTCTAGCTGTTGTATCACTTCCAAAAGAGTCTGCTGTTATCCTTTTTGCCCTTCCTTCAAACTTCTGAGTCCCCTAGAAGATGCCTTTGGTAAACTATCATGCAAAAGAATGTGAAATTCTCTGGTCTGAATCATCATAATTACATGTGCTTCATCTGGGTGTGCATTTGTGGATGGAATGACTGCCTTGGGCTCTGTAGCTGTCTGCACTGTACGTAGAGTGACTGCAGTTCACAGATGTTGTTGCTGGGGATCACCTAGAATGTTACACTGGGTATGTTTCTTCTGGGGATTAAGTTACATATATCAGAGCGATGGTCTTAGAAAAGATTCTTTGTCTCATTCAAATACCATTTTTCTTAAGGATGATGTTGTGGTGCACACCCTGTCAGTGAGAGAAAACTTACAGTTCTCAGCAGCCCTTCGACTTCCAACAACTATGACAAATCAGGAAAAAGATGAGAGGGTTAACGATATTATGAAAGAGTTAAAGCTGGATGGAGTGGCAAATTCCAAGGTAATATGGGAAATAAAACCTGATCAGTCATAACCAGAAAGAGGATTCCTGTGTGGATAACATGACCCTTAGTCATAAGTGCATGGTCAAAAGTGGCTGCAACCCGTTGTGTACTGTGAAGGGGGAAAATAAAGCAGAGAAATAATCATAGCAATGGTCAAATTGAAAAGAAAGTGACCACAACACTCGGATTGACCAAGAGATCTTTATTGCAGCAGTGCAAAAGAGGAAAAAAAGAGAGAGAAAGAAAGAGCAGGGAAAGATAGAAGAAAGAAGTGGGAGAGCAAAGAGAGAGAGGGTGAAGAGGAAAGAAGGAGAGGGAGAGGGAGAGGGAAAGCAACAGAAGAAAGAGAAAGAGCAAGAGAGTGAGAGAGAGAGAGAGACAGAGACAGCAAGAGTAAGAGCAAGCTTCCTCTCAGCTCCTCTTTTCCTCTCTTCTTTCTTCCCGTTCTCCTGCCAATGTATTTCCAGACTCTTATAAGGCAGACTTTTCTAGGACTAAGAAGTAGAGTTGTGGGCAAGAGTGACAAAGACCAAGTAATTCCTCCATTTGTGGATGTGCAGGATCAGAGCGAGATGATGAGAAGAGGGTGAGCTTGACAGGTGAACACTGCATACCCAAGTTTTGCTGAGCAGACCTTGGGATCTTTGGGTGATAATGAGCTGTTTAGAATATAATGGCTCTGGTTTAATCTGCTGTGATCTCCCTTCCAGGAGGCCATGATGACTGGGGGAGAGCATTCTACTGGCAGCTGCTTCCTGTTATACTTACTGATAGTTTTTATGTGAAATATATTTTTGTTTGAAAACCCTATGATGCCCCCATTTTCCATGTATTTTTTGCTTTGTGACTGATTGAGTTGTCATTATCTTGGTTTTATTTATTGAACTGATGTCGTCTTTCCACTTTGGTAGCTTCTTTCACTCTATTCTTTCCCATTAAGCACTCACTACACCTTAAGTTGCTCAAACTAAATATTTGACTTGATGAGAATAGAAGTTGGACTTTCTGTCAGGTCTAGCTTCTTAGCAGCTCTGTCATGAGCCTCAGTTTACCTCTCTGGTAAAAGAGAACCTCCTGTTCCTCAGGGGCCTATTTTCTTGCTGTTCAAAATCCTGATGATAATGACATAAAGTTTCTCTAGCAGGGCTGGCACAGGTCAGTTCAACAAAAGAGAGTGACTTTGGTAGTCTTCTGTTGATAGTGATAATAATCTGTGTTTTAGGTTAGACCTAGAGAATTACGAAAAAGGACTAGTATCGCTGTGGAGCTGATCACTGATCCTGCCATTTTGTTCCTGGATGAGCCAACAACTGGTCTAGACCCAAGCACTGCAAATACTGTTTTTTCACTCCTAAAAAGGTAAGTGCTATGGGAATGTTTTTTTTGTTTGTTTGTTTTTTCTATTTTCAACCACTTCTATGTACAGGTGTTCTTATTGCAGGGGATTCTGAAGTAAACTGCAGGATTTTTTCCTTCTTTGTTAGAGAAAAACAATTAACAAAGAAATAGTAACAAGAAAGATTAATCAAGAGCTTGGGGAAGAAGGCTGTGGTGGGTGTGGGGAGCTCTTTTCAACAGCCTGAGGGTCAGGGAAGACCACAGCATGGGCATGGGAGCTGGAGGAGAGGGAATGGGAGCTGAAGGTCCTGCGGAAGAGAGTTCTGGTGGGAAGGAGTACCCCGTGGGCCTGAGGCAGAGTACTCCTGATGTGTATGGAGCATCAGAAAAGCCTCGGAGACAGCACCCGGTGACTGAGGGGAGTGCAGGTTGATTCTGCACTGTCATAACAGTGCCACAGGCTGTGGACTGAGCCACAGAAATCACTTTTCTTCTAGCTCTGGAGTCTGGAATTTGAGATCAAGGGGTCCACAGGATTGTTTCTTCCAAGGCCTCTCTCTTTGGCTTGAAGATGGCCATCTTCGCCCCTTTTCCCTGTGTGTCTCTGTCCCAATCTCTCTTAACTGGACACAGTCAGTTGAGAAGCCACCAGTCAATTACATTCTTTAATCTTAAAAACCGCTTTAAAGACACTGTCTCTAAATGTAGCCACCTTCTGGGATATAGGGGGTTAGGACTTTCACATATAAATTTTGAGGAGGCCACAGTTTAACCCATCCGTTAGAATGAACTGTGAGGTAGAGTTGGGTTTGTGGCAGGTTGCTTAGTCCTTGAAGGGCAGTGTAAGACAAATGGCTTCTCCTGTAACTAGGGAACATGAGAGCATCTGGAGAGTGCCAGAACAGAGCAGAGACTGTGGGGAAGGTTGTGCGTTGGACAGGAGTGAGTGAAGGACATTGGGAAGGAGCTATGGAGGCAAGATAGGGCCTGGGCCAGGATGCTCATGGTGAGGTGGTGAGAAGAGCCATCTCAGTTTCCTTTGTGCCTCAAGATCCTTTTCAGAAACAGGCTTTTCCTGTTTTTCCTATTTTTTTT